GACCAACTCCCCTTAAGTCTTTTAAATCTATTCCTTGAGAATTCCGTACACGTGTACAATGAACCCAGCCACCCCATCCCCACTCCATGCTCCCACCCTCCCCTACTTCTCATCTTCTCTTTAAAAACTCGGCTGAGCTGCCATATGTGCACAGGCGCACTCACAGGAAGGGGGGTAAAACCATCTCTACTTGCAGATAACACAAGTCTGTGTAGAAAGCTGCAAGTGATCCACCTGAAAGCTCCTGCCACCACTGTGCTCAGCAAAGCCACAGGCACAAGACCCAAGCACAGACACCAAGTCCACTGTTATCACAGTAAATGTGGCTGAAAGCAAAAGCACAGGGTCATTTACAACTGCCTTAGGGAAAACTCCACTCTGGGCAGAAACTTCATAAAACATGTTTAGGATCTATGGGAAATGGAACTGGCTGGTGGAAAAAAATCAGACTTAAATGAAGGTAGCCTTGTTTGGGGATCAACACAGGCACCAGGTCAGTTCTTTCCAAGTTGGTCTTTGGTTTAAAGCAACTGCATCAACTTCCGCACAAGGTGTTTATAGACATAGGTCATTTATAAAAGTTACATGGGGGCTGGAGGGATGATTGAGGGAACAAGGGCGTGGGCTGCTCCTGAGCGGACCCTCAGGCTCCCAGAACCCACATCAGAAGGCTCCCAACCACAGTAACTTCAGCTCCAAGGGACCCAACTCTCTCTTCTGGCTTCGGAGGGCTCAGGCATGGGGATACATGATTTTTTTTTTTTTTTAAGTTATAAGGGAAAAAAAGAGACACAGGCCGTAGAATAACTAAAATCTTGAAAAAGATACAGTGGGAGAAATACTGACACTACACAGTTACAGTAACCAACACCATGACATGCTAGCACAAGGAAAGACATACAGACCACTGGAACAGATTAGAAAACTCAGATACACATAAATAGCCCAACTGATTATCATTCCGTTTTTGTTTTTGTTTTTTTGTGACAGGGTTTCTCTTTGTAGCCATAGCTGTTGTCCTGGACTCACTTTGTAGGCCAGGCTGGCCTTGAACTCACAGAGATCTGCCTGCCTCTGCCTCACCCTATGAGTGTTGGGATCACAGGTGTGCGCCCCAAGCCAACTTGATTATCGTTCTTATGAAGGCATAAAAGCAGTTCAATGGGAAAATAACAAATAGTTCTGAATCAACTGGATATTCACAGGCATAAAAAATGACTTCAATTTATAGCACACACTTAAATGTAAGATGTAAAACTTAAAAGACAAATCTTTAGGATCTGTGGTCAAGCAGAAAGTTCTTAAGATAGGACAGCAAAAGAGTCATTAATAAAAGGAAAAAAAACGCACAAACTGGACTTTACTGAAATTAAAATATTTACTTTGCAAAAGATCCAGTGTAGAGAGTAGAAGGACAGGTCATATGGGTAGTCCTGATATGGGACAAAGGACCAGTATCTAGCATATATAAAGAGCTCCTCAAACCCAACAATAAAGCATAAGAAACCTAATTAGAAGAGGGATGGGGGAAAAAAAGAAGAAAGAAAGAAACTTTTTTTCCAAAGAGGGTGAGAGGCAAATGATAAGATTTTCAGCATCATTAGCAGTAGGGAAAACTCAAGAAGACATGACACACACTTGTAAGAACAGCTGAAGGAAGGCAGTGATAACACCTAATGCTGTACAGAGATATACAAAAGAGCCTTTGGGACACAGCTGGTTAGGCAGCTTCTTATGAAGAGCAATCACTACAGTATGACCAATTACTACACTGTCGGCTATTTATCTAGACATGTGAAAGCACAGATGGGGACACGGAATACAGATGGAGCACGGCTGCCCAGGCCTGTCATCCCAGTACCTGGAAGGGAGAATCAGAGGGAGCAGCTCACTGCCAGTCTCAGCAACTTGTTAAGTTTTAGGACAGCCTGGAACACACGAGATCATGTCAGGACTTACCAATCAACCTAAGAGAACGTACACAGTGCTTGCAGACCTATCTGTAGTGATCAGCAGGTGGAAAGAACCCAGACACCACGCCAGGTAACAGGGAGGCGGCCCAGTGCTCAGCAATAAGGCTGGAGTTACTGCCACATGCAGTTGCTTTCATGGGGATGTCCACAGAAAGGTCACACTCCGCATGAATTCCATTTATAGGATATTATGGGTAGGGCTGTGTAGTGCACTCACGTGAGTATGTGCGTGTGCACACAGTGGCCAGAACAGTACATCAGGTGTCCTCTATCACTCTCTGCCTTAATAAAGGGTCTCTCATGAACTGGAAGGTCATTCCTGCCAACTGCGGTTTGCAGACTGCCCAGCTTTCTGCATGGGTGTTGGGGATTTGAACTCAGGACCCCTGCTTGCAGGAGAACAAGTGCTCTCAACCGCTGAACCATCTCCTCAGCAACTACGCAATATTCTTGGAATGACAAAATGATGGAGTTAGGATTGCTGACTGACACTGCCAGGATCAAGAGAGAAGGCCAGGGAGTGGAAAAGATTTAAAGTTGAAAAATGAATTTCTCATAGGTTACAGCAGATAACATACGTGCAATAAAGAGTAATCAGTAGAAAAGTCAGGAAGAAAGACATGGCATGGCAGTCGAAGGGGGACTTGTTGGAAGAAGGGGCTCAATGGGACTTGAAGGGGAATGGAAGAGAGTGATGCGGTCTAAAAATGACCCAAAGACATTTTATATGTATATAAAATTGTAAAGGATTAAAATTTAAAACTCACTAACTAAAAAAAACAAAAAACAAAAACCAAAAAAAAACAACAACCTAGTTTTAAAAAAGGCATTGTATAAAACCAAGCAAACAATCCTCGTTAACAAGTCTTGGTTCTGTTGTTAAGGAAACCAGGAAAAGTTAATGCCAACGAGTACGGGAAAAAGAGACTGACTTCTCTTAAAACTCACTTAACAGACTGAGGCAGGCTTGATATCCATGTTTCTAAATATTTTTTCTGCCTCCCAAGCTGAAAGAAACTGAGCCCTCCAAGCCCACCTGGTTATGGGTTCAGAAAAGCAGCAAAAATAAAACCAGGCTCCTTGAAGGAGACTGGAAAACAGGCCTTGAAACAGGCGTTTCCCATCCCCTTAAGGTGCCTGTCTTGATGAGAGCCCTGTGCCGCCCTGAGGCTCTGAAAGGTGAAAAGGGTGTGAATTATCCCTTCAAATGATTTTCTTCCTATCCTGAGCCCAAAGGCGCTACTTGTATTGGAACGAAACATTTAGGAACAAACATGTTGAGTGTGGGAGTGCTGGCCCGGAAGTCTGGCTCCCAGGATCCCAGCCCAACCATCCTACACCAAGGTTCCTCAAGGCCGAAGTGAAAGACATGTCCCAGATGGGCTTCTGTGTCCCCTCGCTAACTTAAAAACCCATCAGGCCCAGTAAAATCTAGTTCTCTTGGTAGCTTTTCTGTTATGACAAATCCCTCTACCTGCTTGGGACAGCTTTCCTCAGAACCCCCTCCCTGCAAAAAGTTGGGCAGGGGGAGCTTGGGAAGAATCAAGAAGAAACTAATTTAGGTGCAGAACAGAGGCCCCGTGCCCTCCTCTGGACTTTCCTACATTTCTCTCTGGTCTGCGATGTCTCACATAGCCCAGGCTAGCCTCAAACCTTCTGTGTAGCTAAGCCTTGAACTTCATGCCCTCTTGCCCCTACCTCCACAGTGCTGGAATTACAGGACTATGCCACTCTGAATGCACGGGCCTTGTGCATGCAGCACGAGCACTCTAGCAACCCAGCCACAGGCCCAACTCTCCAGCCCTTTCCTTCAGACCCTTCTGCAGAGACTCACAGTCCTGACACGACTCCGTCAACACACCTGTTTCTTTCACATACCTGGCACAGACTAGAAAGGGCACAAGGAGTAGGACCCTGCGTTCATAACCGCATGAGGATCATTGCAGCTGATTCAAATGCACAAAACAGCTACCCACCAATGAAGGAAACGTGGCCACTGAGTGAGCAGCAGACCTTCGGGAGGCTCTCTACTTTTCTGTGCTGGGTTGAATCCCATGAGCTTGTGCACGCTAGACAAGTGCTTTGCCACCGAACCACATCCCCAGTCCCACCCGCTGTTCCACAGTGGCCCTGTGCACATGCTTTTAAAGCAAGGTCTTCAGTGGCACCCACCAAGACGTTTCCTCACGCAATTACACGTCTAGAATTAGCCTGGAGACCAGGGGGTCAGGAGCAGAGGAGACTGGCACCAGACTGACCTTCTTTTAAAGCTGGGAGGTGGGGGTGTCACAGCTCCTTGTAACAGCTCTTCTAACTTGGTGGATATGTTAAATCTCTACACTCAAAAGTTTAAAGAATGAAGTGTGGGTGGCACATGCCTGGAATCCTACCACCGGAGGAGCTCAAGGTTATCCTTGGCTACATAGCAGGGCCAGCCTGGGCTTCATGACACCCTGTCTCAAAAATACAAAACAAACAAACAGTGGCAACGTATAGTTTAGTTAGTAAAGTCCAGCCCAGTGTGCATGAAGCCCTGGGTTCAATCCCCAGCACTCCAAGTATGGTGACACCGCGCCCCCACCCCCCTGTAATGCCAGTATTTGGGAAGCGGAGTGGGGAAAAGGATCAGGAGTTCAAGGTCATCCTCAGCTACACAGTGAGTTCAAGGCCAGCCCGGGATACTCGAAGCAGTACCCAAAAAATAACGAATAAAATGGTCAATTCTCATTTACAAACAAAAACCGGGGCTGATGTCCTTCAACCTACGCTGTAAACTTCGCTTGCTGGAGGGACAGGGAGAGTTGGCGACTCTCAATCCACCCTATACGGAACCCAAGTCCCCAAGAATGGTCCAGCTTGTACTCCCCACGGTCCCCAAGCATCCGAGGCTCGGCAAAGCTATCGGTGCACGGGGGTCACCGGCGTAAGCCCGGCCGGCATAACCTGAGGTCTCCATGGGAGCGGAGGGGCGCCGGTGGCGGGGCAGCCGGTCCGTGGGGGACAGAGGGGGCGGGCCCCGCGCCCCACCTGGGCCAGGTGTGTGTGGGCGGGGCCGCGCGTCACCTTGAGGATGTTGTCGAAGATGGTGTCGCGGAACTCCAGCAGCGCCTTCTGGTCGAACTCGCGGCCGTGGATGATGCGCATCTGCTTGAGGAAGGTGGACTTGCCGCTCTCGCCGGCGCCCAGCAGCAGGATCTTGACCAGCCGCCGCACCGCGCGCCGCTCGCGGGCCAGCAGCGCGTCGATGTCGCGGCTGCGCCGTCGGGCCTCGCGCTCCGCGTCGCGCGCCGCGCCCGCCCTGCGCTCGCGGGCTCCGGCCTCGGCCGGCAGCAGGCAGCGGCTGAGGGTCCGCACCACCCCGGACATGGCCGCCCTCAGGCCGCGGCCGCGCCCCGCCGGGGCCCGCGTGCCATGGACGCCCCTCAGCCGGCGCGGCCCTGCCGGGCCAGGCGCCGCCCCGCCCGCCGCTCCCTCAGGCCGCGTCCGCCGCCGCCGCCCCGAGGCCCTCACTCGCCGGGCCGGCTGAGGGGCGGAGGAGAAGGAGCGGAGGGCGGGACGGCGCCGCTCAGGAGGCCGCCTATTGGTTGGTAAGCTGTCTATCTTGCAGAGCGCCCCTTTTTATTGGACAAGCGTGCTTCGGAGGAGGCGGACGCTCTTGTGGCTCTTGGGGCGGAGCCTGCACAGAAAGAGGCGGGATCTTTGCCGTGAAGGAGCTTCTCATTGGACAGACGAGCGAGCTTCTTTCTTTCAGAATGAAAGGGAGGCGGGGCCATCTGGGAGGAGGAGCTGCAGCCCCTCCGCGGCCAATTATAAGTGCTCTAGGAATCTGTCAATCACAGTGACTAAGCTTGGGATTGGAAGTTGGGGAAAACGGGGCGTGGCCAAAAGTGCCAGGTGTACAGAGTGACTTTCTGCCTTGATTCCCAGGTTGGTCTGGCTGTGAGACCCGAATCTTCTGGGGCCGCCTAAGACGTGGCCGCAAAGCTGGGAAATACCGACGAGGTCCGCCTGCTCTTAAATGAAGGAAGAAGGCTCAGCCGTTTTCCTTCCAAAAACACTGGAGCAGGGTGGGCCAGGATTTTCAAACAAGTGCTGCTTTGAGTGTTGGGGCATGCGCCCCAATAAGAAAAAAACCAAAACATAAAAAGCAGAGTTGCATGGGCTTTCCTAGGCTCCTTCTTAACAAGTGATTAAGGGGAGATGGTTCGGTGGGATGGCTGTAAAAGCCATCACTGTGAAGACGTGAGTTCAAATTCCCAGTTGTGCCGGTAACCCCAGCACTGGAGAGCCAAGACAGACCAATCCCGGGAACTTGAGAGGAAGCTAGCCTAGCTTAAGCCTCAACGGGAGAACCTGTTTCCAAAATGAAGGTGGAGCAAGACGTCGGGCCACCTCTTGGCCTCTGCATGGTTGTGCACTGGTATACATTGGACACACACGCGCACACACACACACACACGCACACACGCGTGTGTTTGTCATACTCAAAGGCAGTTTGATATGGCTTAGTGATCTAAAGGGCGTTGGTGGCGCGTGTAGGTATCAGAGACCTCGAGAGGCAGACAGGCAGACGCAGAAAGATAGAGATGTGGCTAACGCCAGCCGGGGCTACACAGTGACTTTCCGGTCACACCTTGGTTGGCAACAGAGAGTTTGTCTCAGGGAGAGGCCAGGCGGTCGGGCAGGCTTGTGTGCTAGGATCCCAGTACTGGGAGAGAATGAGACAGGAAATAGGGAATCTGGGGCCAGCCTGGGCCATCCATAGCTGACTCTGTCTCAAACAAAACAAAACAAATTCAATAAATACACCTGTCCCAGATCCCACTCTTTTACAGAAAGACAGCCTTTGGTGTTGGCCGCGCCTTTCACCTGGTTTGAGGCAGGGCTTCTTACTGTTTGTGCTTGCGTGTGCCTCGCTAGCTGCTCACACACCGAAGACGCTCCTGCCGCCGCTTCCCATCTTGCCATGGGAATGCTTGGCTCACAGACGCTTGCTTCTACCTCTGGCTCTGTGTGGACTCTAGGGCTGTGAGTCCTCTAGGTCCTCACTCCTTTGAGGCAAACGTCTTACCCACGGAGCCAACTCTCCCGCCCACGTTTTATTTTTTGGGTCCCTTGTATCTCAGGCCGGTCTCAAATGTAGCCGAGGATGACTTTGAACTCCTGCTGCTCCTGCCTTTGCATCCTGAATGCTAGGCTCACAGGTGTGCATCACCACACCTAAGGGTATGCTTCTAAGATAAAAAATAGGGAAACCTGGACCCATGGACTAGAGTTCAGTCCTTATTCAGTTTTAAAAAAAAGTAAAACTCAATTCACAGTTTTCAGCAAATGTTCCAGACATTTACAAATAACTGTATAACGTTATAAATAGCTTAATGCCAGTGTTTAGAGAATCATTAACCATTTTAAAGGACCACTTAGATTTTTTTTAAGTGACACATTGTGGTGTTTTATGGGAGAAATTATATACTGTTGATAGTATCTAATTTGGACTTCGACAAGGGCTCTGGGCACATCCTTCACGTTTGCTAAAAGGCTAAAGTGCTTGAAATGAACAGGTATATCCATGGACTCCGTAGTAGTCTCTTAATTACCCCTGGCATTCACCCAGCATGCCATAATTTCTAAAGTGCTCCTACAGACATTATCTCGTGCCATCTATTCTCCTCACAACGCTGGGGGAGAAGCAAGCATGGGGCAGCTGTAATAAAAGAATCCAAGGGCTGGAGAGACAGTAAAGGGCCTGCAGAGCAAGGCACTGAGTTCAGATCCCTAGAACCTATGTAAAACGTCAGTGTGTGGCTCTAACCCCCAGTGCTGGGCAGGGGAAGGCAGAGACAGCTGAGTCCCTGAAGCTTACTGGTCAGCCAGCCTAGCTGACTCGATGAGTTTCAGGCCCTTGGGTGTCTAATTTGCTTTTCTGTAGCCACGATAAACACCATCAGCACAAACAACCTGGAAAGGAAAGGGTTCCTTTTAGCTTATCTGTTATAGTCTACCCCCACTGGAAACCAAGGGAACTCAAGGCAAGATCTTGAGGCAGAGGCAATGGAAAAATGCTGCTTATTGGCTTGCTTTCCCTGGCTCATGCTCAGCTAGCTTTCTTCTACAGCCCAGGATCATCTGCCCAGGGATGACACGGCCAGCAGTGGGCCGGGCCCTCCTCCAGGAATTAGTAATCAATGATGGCCACAGGCCAATCTGATTCCTTCTTCCCAAAGGTGTCAAATGATAACTGAGGCTAGCTATAACAGACCCCATTTCATAAATAAATGAATAAATAAATGAGCAAGTAAAAAAAAAATAGATGTGAGACCTCATTCTCATGTTGCATGCACACACACTGAAAATATATGTGCACACACACACACACACACACACACACACACACACACACCATAGCCTCCCCCACCACAAAGAATGCTGAGTTCCCAGCACCACCGGCGACTATTAGGTGTAGGTGTGGTTAGTGAAGAGCAGAACCTGGACAGGAAGCCTGACCTAGTGCCTGCTTCCCATACGCCGTGGGCTCAGGGCACGCATGGGAATTTGGAAGCTTTGCTTTTCCATTTAGGGATGTGTGACTTGGAATGAGTCACTTAACATCTTTGAAACTCACTTTTATTATCTGTAAATCGGGGGGGGGGTGAATAGAGCCCTGGGGCTGGAGAGATGGCTCAGTGGTTAAGAGCACTGCTCTTCCAGCGGACCAAGGTTCCATTTTCGGCATCCGCGTGGTTGCTCACAACTGTCTGTAACTCCAGTTCTCTGCAGTCTGATGCCCTATTCTGGCCTCAGCAGGCCCCGGGCAGCCACATGGTTCACAGACATACACATAGGCAAAACACCTGTACACATAAAAGTAAAATAATAAAAAAGACTATGTGCTGCTACTGCAGAGAATCTCAATTCAGTTTCCCAGCACTCACACTGGATAGCACAAAAGGGCCTGTAACTCCAGATCTGAAGGACCCAACACCCTCTTCAGGCTTCTGTGGGCATACACATACATATATACACATCACACACACACACACACAAACACAAATGCACTAAATAAAAATAATCTAGAAATAATCTAAAAAATGTTTGATAAGTTTCAAACAAGTTTACCAACAGAAAGGCTTTGCTGGGTGTTGGGGATGTGGGCCAGTAGATAAACTGCTTGTTGTATGAACATGGAGATCTGAGTTTGGATCTTAGGGCCCATGTCAAAAAGCCAGAATTGGCAGTACAAACCTGTAACCTTAGCAGCTCCAAGGTGGAGGCAAGAGGATTAGCAGGTGGTGACGGTGGTGATGATGATGGCTGCCGTGGATGGAATGATGGCGAGCTTCTGAGACCTCACAGTCCAGCCCCTAGGGATGCATTTTCTCCAACAAGGCCACGCCACCTAACCGCCACTTCCTATGGGCCGGCCTACGGGGGCCATTTTATTCAAACCCCCACAAGATCCGTGGGACCCTTTACCACGGTCAGTGGCTGTGTCGGTGTGTCAGCTGCTTTGGCTCCACCGTCCTGGCAGCTGCCTGTGAGGCTCACCTCAGAGCCAGATCTAAAAGCAAGGAGCAGAGAGAAGCCTGAAGAGTGAGTTCTGTGCCCTGTTGGCCCCTTAAAGCCCCAAGTGACAAAGACACTCGATGTTCTTATCTGTGAGATCCAAGCCCCTTGGAGCTCACTCAGCATTTCTTTGACGGCACAGGCTGATGTGTCTGAACACAGTGCTCCCCCGTAAGCTCACGTGTTTGAACACTTGGTTCCCCGCCGGTGGGGCCGTTTGGGGAGAGGTTATGGAAGCTTTAGCAGGTGCATCCTTGTGGAGACCCACGCTGAGGTTTTAGGGCCTGCCTCCACTTCCCTCTCTGCTTCCTGTGTGTGGATGCATCAACCAGCTGCCTGCTCCTGATAACATGTCTTCCTTGCCATCATGGTCTCCATCTGGAACCACAAGCCAAAGCCCTTTCTCCCTCAAGTTGTTGTTTGGCACGGTATTTCATCACAGCAATGGACAAGAAACAAAGATGCGGGCATTGGCAGCAGCCCATCGGGCTTGGTGTGGAGCAAGGCAAGGACTCCTTTGGGATGGTCCCCTGCCCCTGTTATTGGAAAGAGGCTTGAAAGAGTCTGTTTTTCTTTCAGATTTTTAAAAATTAGTTTATGTTCAGGCTGGGTGTGTTAGCACACACCTGTAATCTTAGCACTTGGGAGACAGAGGCAGGTGGGACTCTGAGTTTGAGGATAATTTGAGCTACACAGTGAGTCCCAGTCCAGCCTGAGCTACACAGTGAGACCCTGTCTCAAAAAGAAACAACTTATGTTCATCACACGAGGCAGGGAGCATCCCTGTGACAGCTGCACACAGAATCAACTTGTCCTCTTTCTCCTACCTCCTGCTCATCCGCTTCCTTCTGAAAAGCTCCCCTCTTTTACTCCTCCCCCCCAATTTTAAATCCTGA